TATATATATATATATACACACACACACACGATTTAGGAACCATATATATGGCAACCATGGTTGATGACATTAAAATTATTTCTTAGAGCATTAAAAAACATTAAATTAGAGTTACTCATTCTTGTATGAACCCCGGAAAGGCATTTCCAAGGAAGGTATGCCAAATATATGCAGCCGACCGCCAAGTTGGGAGTGAGAGAAAAAATGCAATTGCAGAACCTTTGGATAAATTAGAGGAAAGCAAAGCATCTCCAAACTCCACCACTGCTGCTAGTTTTGTTGCAAGCATGGAAAACCGTCCACAGATTAAACAGGCAGTGATTTTAAAATAAAAATAAACATCATAAAAATCACACCAAGGAACAATAGTGACGGAGGATGTAGAATTTCAGGGTTAGTGAGCTCTGCTCTGGTGGATGTCAGTTCCTGCTTGGTTCCTCATGACTCCATCAACTCCTCCCAACAGAAACACGTCCACCATAGAAAGATTCCTTTATTGTGTTTCTATAATTTCATCAATGCAACACTCCACACGGTGAGAGCGATCACTGCTTGTCCATCACCTCATGCGATTATGCGACATTTGCTCCAGTATAAACATTTAATCATGAATGCTCATTATATATTAAGCCCACGTAGTCCTTTTTTACGGTGGGATAATACACTTAGAGTCTGTGTTGCCATACAAGGCTTATAGAAGACTTTTACATTTTTGTGTCTCCAGACAGATTTTAGTTTTTTTGGTCCAATATTGCTCTTTGAACAGTTTGTGTTGCCGATCCCTGCCCTAAATCCTGTTTGTTTTGCAGTAATCTGCCCGCCAAGCCTGCAGAGGAGGCCCAGAAACACAGGCAGCAGTATGAAGAGATGGTGGCCCAGGCCAAGAAGAGAGGTCAGCCGATGAGACTCTGTGGCTTCACACTGAATCACTTCTTCTGTCGAGTGTTTGTGCATCCCTGTGTTGTTGTATCGTAAAACATGTGTTTTATGCAGAGCTGAAGGAAGCTCAGAAGAGGAAGAAGCAGCTGGAGGATCGATGTAAGCTGGAAGAGAGCATCGGCACGGCAGCCCAGATCTGGAACCAAGAGATCTTACCCAACTGGAGTACAATGTGTGTGTGAGCAGAGCTCATTTAACTAACATTTATGAGGACTTATGTTTTATCTGCTTTACAAATGGATTTAGACTCCACAGTTAGGCCTAGTTAAAGGAGCAATAATCCATAATTCATTATTTTTGATAGAACAAACAGTGATTTGATAAACTAAAGGTATCTTCAGTAGTCTACTGAAGCCGGTCATTTGCCAACATGAAGTTCTCTTGCTTACTCAGTGAAGGTTCCTTTGCTGTGGGGTTTCCTTTACAAATATATGGCAATGGGCGAGAAAGTGAGGGGAAAAGGGGGAGGTTAGTGCGGGTTTGCAGCTTGAGAAGGTAGAGAACGCCACACATCTTGTTTATGGTCTACAGTCGGCGCTCTACAGCCCACCAGGTGGTAAAATTATGCTTATAGTTCCATTAGTCTTTGATACTAGAGTCTCTAAGACCAAAAGTTTCTCTCTACTCAACCTTCCCCTTATCGTTTCTCATGCTACGTTCAGACTACGTTATAACGCGAGCAGCAGAGGCAGCTGAAGCAGCTGGTTTACATGCAAAGCCTTCAGGTTGACGCGCAGCAAAAGCTCCTGCAGAGCGTTTCGAGCAGCTGAAGCAACACCTCAAGAGCTTCTGAGCATCTGAAGCGTGGGTCATGCTGCACAAGCAGCAGATGCTGGAATTGAAAAAATTTAACTATTGCTGCTGGATGCGTCACATCAACCAATCAGAGAAGATGATCTGAGGCTGGCAGGATGACGGACGCAGCACTGCTGATGCAGAACGCTATGATCACTCCTCTGAAACAGTTTATTAACGCCTAAATTCACTTAAAATGTCCAAACCTGCCAGCAAGAAATGTTTGCTTGTATTATTCTGGTGCCTGCAGTTTGGATTACGTACATGAAAAATTTCTTCCAGCCACCACAACAGTAGCGGAGATTCCCCAAGAGGCGACCGGGCCAGAGGCAGCTGTTGAAGGGGTTTTCCAGTGACAGAGCACCGCCGGTGTAGGTACCAGATTGACTCGGGGGGCCTGCGCCTTTTGATGACGTCATAATTAGGCAACTCCGCCCGCCAAGATATGGCAACTCCACTCAAACAAACTACATTGCGCCCGCGGTCTCTATTTATTCTCGTTACAAATGCAGACCGCGG